TCAGCGAGATGGACCTGTCGCGCGCCACTATCATGTGCTTCGCTTCACTGCTGCTGGAGCTGGGACTGCAGGACAAGGTGGTCGAGCTGTTCGCGCAGTACTCGCCACTGCAGCGCGGCCTAGGCATGCCGCCCCAACTGGTAAAGTTCTCTGTGGAGCCGGGCTCGCGCCGTCGCCTCTTCCTCTATAACCCGTTGGCGCAGGAGAGGACTGAGCACGTGCAGTTCCTGGTGACCGAGCCCAACATAGCTGTCGAGGACGCCAGCGGACAGCGCTTGCTCGTGCAGTTGGAGCCGCAGGGAAAGGCGTTCCTAGCCCACTTCCTGGTGCGCCTCCTTCCGCTGTCCATCCATGTGTTCAGCGTAATCGGCGTGCGGTCGGAGGGCGAGGTGGCGCCGCCAGCCGCCATCGCGCGCACCGACGCCGACCTGGGGGACGCCTTCACCATCAGCAACGCTCGCTTCCAGCTGTCCTTCAACAAGACCGGCTTTCTGTGGAGCGTGCGCGACCGGCGCGTGAATCGTGAGCTGCCGCTGGCGATCAGCTTCGGTGCGTTCGCGACCGTCGAGCGCGAGAGTGGCCTGTACCTGTTCGCGGCCAAGGACCAGCCGCCGAGACGGCTGCCGTGCGCCGGCCGCCGCTGGGCCGTGCGCGAGGACGCCGTGTCCTCCGAGGCGAGCGTGGACTGCGGCCGCGTGCGGCTGACCGTGCGTCTGCTCCACACGGACGCCCCACCCGGCCAGGCGGTGCACCTCGAGACCGAGACGCGCCTCTCACGCGACGACGACGAGACGGACGTCTTCATGCACCTGCGCACAGGCGTGGCGTCGTGCGCGGCGCGCGGCTGCGGCTTCTTCGCCGACGCCAACGACTACCAAATGGTGTGGCGGCCTTACGTGCCGGCGGCCGGAGTGGCCGGCAACGTGTACCCGGTGACGACACAGGCCAGCCTGCAGGACCACCGGCTGCGGCTCAGTCTCCTGATGGACCACTCGCGCGGCGTCGCCAGCCTCAAGGAGGGTACGCTGACAGCCATGCTGGACCGGCGCTCGCGCTTCGATGACGACCGTGGCATCGGCCAGGGCAACCAGGCCAACCGGCCGGTGCGGGCCTCCTTTTTGGTGACGTTCGAACACCTGCCCGAGCCGCCGGCTAGTGACGAGCTGTTCGCGAACGGGCCCCTGACGCGGCGCTCTCCCGCCAGCCAGCTCAACCATCCGCCGCAGGTGCTGATGGGTCGCGAGCCGCAGGCGCCGCGGGTTCGCCGTGCGCTGCAGCTGCTGGACGGCGCGCTGCCCTGCGACTGGGAGCTGGTCACGCTACGCCAGCTGCCCGAGCGGCACCGTTACGAGTACCCGGGCCGGCGGCTGCAGCTGACGCTGCTACGGCGCCGCCTCGACTGCCGGCTGTGGCACGCCGAGGACGCCTGCGCTGCCGGCCGGCCGCCACCCCCGGCGTCGAGTTCTCGCCGTTCATTTCGTTAGAGAGTGTCGAGCCCGTGGGTCTGACGGGCGGCGAGCGCCCGGCGCCGGCCGAGCCACTGCGCGGGCTGCGCGACCTGCGACTCGAGCCCGACGAGCTGCGCACGTTCGAACTCAGCTACAGACGGCCCGGCCTCGATAGCGTCGAGGAGATGGACGAAGAGGAGGTGCACTTCGTCAAGGAACTCAACGGAGTTGGGTCGAAAGAGGCGGTCAGATAGGACGCGTCGCGCGCAGTGGGATGCTGGTGACACGACGTGAGCGCGTGTGGCGGTGGAGCGCGGTCTCGGCCAGTGACGAATGGGGATGGGCAGGCACCGGCAGGAAGCGGGGTTCTATCAAGTAGACGGAATAGTGGTGGGCCGACGGTGGGGCGTGACTGGTTCGTAGCCAGCAGGTGGCCGACGATTGACAAGTCACAAGGTAAGAGCTCGGGTCCGGACGAACGGACGGGGAAGTGCTGGATATAGCTTGGCGAGGAGCTCGTGATATGTCATCCGTGGGCCACGCACATGCCAGTGGGTCCAAGTCCCGGGGTCAGGGCGGATGGCTGAGCTCATGGTAAATTATGTTACACTTCGTAGTGCACTTGGGAGCGGATTGCTGCTATTTTTCCTTCTCTACATGTCATGATGAGCTTCGTTCATTGTGGATGCCGTGTCGAGAGCTTCGTTCACGCAGATGTGAGTGTATAGTCCAGAGATCGAGGTGGCGTAGTGGACCCCAGGCTCACCAGGTCCATTCCAATGTTATTTTGTAGGTTGGCATATACTACACATGGCAAGTATTGTGCTGAATCTAGTCACACAGTGCAGTGCGCTAGTTGCTGTGGTTTTTGACGATTTATAGAACATTTTCTCTGATGGTGCCGACCTCCTTCAAGAGAAAGATGTTTGTGAATGTGAAAATTGTGCGGCTTTTATATTACACTGACGATGTAAAAATCACTGCCTGCACAACCTTCACCTGTCTACGTTGTTCTAATGCGCGTGATCTCTATGATGCAGTAGCCGGTTGTATAAGTGTAGGTACCTGACTTGGGACAAGATGTCTTTTGCAAACCCTTTCGACACGTCCGTATAGTTCTATCAGCGGCGTGGTTCCCTATTCTTTGCGGGGAGGGCTCCCAACCTTGAGAAGTAAGTCCAACAAATTTGGGGAGAGAAATCCAGTTTCAGGTTTTTTGAGGGGTACGTTTCCGTCATTTTTCATTACTCAGCCCAACACTCGTGTTGTGAAACTACGCCTATGAGTTTTGCAACCAAAAGGTTCGTAAATGCAAGGCGCATTTGTTGGCAAGAATGTGCGTTGCTTCCGACCTAATCAAAGAGTTCGTGATCGGCGAGCTGGCGCGGTTAAAACCGACGTCTTCCATCTGGCTGCTGTGCAATACAATGTGCGTTGTGACTGTGCTCCTTGGAAGGTGTTTGACCGGAACGATCCCCTCCGCCGGAACAAAATCACCGGCCTCATACTGATTTCCCTCAGTGGCCACTAATCCCTTGCCCAGGTCCGCAGATTTTGAAGTCGGCGGGGGGAGGGGGGGGGCAGGATCACCGTCTCACCAACATTTTATCGAAGTCTTGCACAAGCTTAAAAGGAATGTTTCACGTTCTAAGATATTGAAGCAACCATCACATATCATGAAATGAGCTTCCTTATCACTGTTGGTGTGCTTTTAAGTGGAAAAGACTGCTCTAGACAGCGCAGCTCTTGGTTTAGTAAATATGCTCTTCAATACGTTATTTTTTATCACGTCATTGTACCTTGCACAACATTGTTTAAAAGTCAGTTGACGGCCGTTTTGTCTAGAAATTAGGCCCGCGAACGTCAGAAATAAGCGATTCGACAATTTTGTTTTGCCTTGAGCGCCGCATGGCTTATGAGATCGCAAGATTCGAATAACGTTATTATGGCGTCAAGGATGCTTGGGTGACCTTAAAACAGTCTCCCCCAAAAAGTCTGCACGTCTTCGCGGGCGCGTAGCTCAAAAACTAAATGAGTTCAGGTATTTGGAAGGGCGGGCTATGAACTGCACCGAATGATCGTCAGATGGCTGTTTCAGTTCAGAACCCATGCAGATGTGGAACACTCCCTTTGGGCCGTGATGTATGGGAAATGATTGAGTTCGAAACAGATCTTGACACCCCAGGCAGCAATGTCTTTTGCCGTTCCTACGCCTCTGATAGTTCGCGTTCCGGTCCCTATACCGCGATTTCGGCTGGACCAAGTAGGGCTCTTAATAAGTGATCATACTTTGGATGCATTAAACGCTTCCATCCCCATCATTTATTGACTTTATCGAAAACCGTCCCACCAGCTTTTCACCAGCACAGTCTGAATGCTTGCTAAAAGACAGTTCCTTGTTGGGGCTTAACTAGACAGTGCACAGCGGAATGTAAGAGCATATGTTTATGTCATGTCATTAAAGTTTAAATGGATTTTTTGGGGTCAACGAATCCGGATTTGTGCAAGGTGGTGGGCTTTTTCGCCTATTTGGGCAGGGGCGGCTCCAGGTAGAGTAGATTTGAGGGGTTTTGTGGGTTTTCTTACAACTTGCGTTTGTGTTGCACTGGTGTTTCTGGTGACATACAAATATGATCTGTTGTAATGTCTCCTACATTTTAAGTATAATTTATTTCGGAGTCGTTCCCAATAAAAGAAATAAAGGTAGCTTTCTTGAGAAAAGCTGTAAAACTTCCTGTTCCTAGTTCATTGGAGGAAATCAGACGGAAGACGCATGTCCTCTGGCATGATGTGGCGTCTAAGTGACATCCGGAGTCCGGGTATCATAATTCATAAGAGTAATTCGCAGACTACGGTCGCGCAGGGAGAAAACGCTCCAGGGACGAGTAAACGTGGAACGCTATGACCGGTGTATGACCGGTCCACCAGACGTGCTGAAGTTGGAAACTCTGTGTGGGAAAATCCGTTCTAACGTCGGTATAAATGTAGGATGTTTTCTTATTCGACTTATATTATATCGATCATATATATTCCATATCGATCTATATTATATTAGACCCACGATAGTGTTATGCGGGGTGCCACTTCGTGCCATGACGGCAGGTTTGTGGCCAACGGCATTGGTGCGCCTCTAAATTTTCACGTTCGTTGTTCACGTTCGTCGTCACGAAACGCTCGTTGTCCATGCACCACTGTTACTTTCAGCAGAGAGTTAGCATCTTCTCCTGGTTGTTCCTGAACTTTCCGTACCTGGGGAGGGCCTTGCCTTCCTCCTTTCCCATGCCACCAGGCTCTTGCTAAATTCTTTGGAACACCTGTCCCTCCTTTATCTTTTGAGCACCACATCATATATCCTGAATTCTCTGAAGGCTTCAGGGTGCAAGTCATGATGGCTAATAAAAAGACAAGGAAAAAATGTCCCGAACATCTTTAAGGCTGCAGGGTAAGAGTCATGATGTCTAGCAGAACGATCATGGAAAAGTGTGCTGAAAGCGCTAGAGACTTCAGGCTGCAAGTCATGATCCCAACAGGAAGAGAAGACAGAGGTGTCCTGACGGGTTTAGCGGGACCCTGATGGCATACCTGGGAGGGAATGAGGAGAAGGCCATCCTCGAGAAGGGAGAGTTTCTGAGCAGTCTGGAGAAAATAATAATTGCCTGGCACGGGCAATACTGAGGAATGTACAGTGAACGTGTCTGATGTAGAGCCGCGCCGATACTATTTGGCGCAAGCTCTGCTGTCATCGCACTCGGTGGAACACAGCAAAGTGTGTGCTCTGGGATAAATCACTTTCATTTATATAACTAAATGTTTGTACGCCTATGGGGTCGCTAGACATCGGTTACGCAGCGCACACCTCCTGAGGAGGTTTTCGATGCGCGCCAGCCTGAGGCTCGCTTGAGCATATGAGAGCCCCCTTTCGACCCTGGAGCCACCCGTGCTAGAATGGTACGTAGCGTTATTTGCGGCGGGCTTCTCGGTTACGCTTATCGGTGCGGGGACGCATATCACGGGTTTTCAACAGGGGCAACAGCTGCGTGAAAACCCAACACTTTGAAGGTAGTTTTGATCACGCATAGTTGTCACATAAATCTAATAATTAAACCCTAGCTATAAACTCAATAAAGCCCAAGTCGTCATCGTCGGCCCACGTTGACTGCGTCGAAGTCGAATCTGGGTTTATAATTGGATTAAGACAGGTGATGCAGACCGGCAGGCAATGATTTGGTATCAATCGTATTATGGCTCAATTTTACGCTTAAAGGAAATGTTCCACATTTGTGTGGATTTTGAACCGAAGCCCACATTTTGAGGATCATTCGGTGCAGTTTACAGCCCTGCTCTTCTTAAGACCTAACATCCTCTAGTTTCTGAGCTATATGCCTGCGAAGGTGTGCAGGGTTTTCGCGTAGATTATGTTAAGTTCATTCAGGCATGCATGACGCCATAGAAGCGTCATTTAAATCATGTCACCCCATTGGCCATGTGACGTTCAAGGCCAGGAAAGTCGTCAAGTTCCTTATATCTAGCGCTCATGAGCATGACATCCAGGTATAACGGACGCCAATTAGCTCTCAACAAATGCCGTGTAGGCTGTGTGCGTTTTAACAACGAATCACGTCCGTGTCACATAGTGCGAGAATTTTTGTTGAGAATAACGCCGTGATCGAGAACATGGATGCAAATGCATGACAAGTGAGGGCCAAAAAAACTCAACAGCTTTTACTCAGTTATAAATATGCAAGAACGCCATAAGTAAGGGCCGAAATCCGAGCAAATGGCGACATTTGGTTTAGCACACCTCCAGCCCAGTCAAGGCCACCTGTCGGGAGATCGGAATACTTCAAGTGGTAACCTTGGTGGCAATTTCGCACGGCTAGTTTGGCAACAACTCAATGTCATACAAACGTTCCATGACGCAATTCAACAATGGCGTATTAGGAACATATTTTCTAATGCAAAAATGTTGTTTACAGAGTATTTCCCATTTAGAAGGATACCAATAGTTATAAGTGAGCTTGTTTCATGAGATCTAATGCTTGCTTCAACATCTTCAAAAGCGCAATATTGCCTCTAAACACGCGGTTACCCCTGCCAATGATATAATGTAATCTACCTTAGCATGTGCGTTAAATGTTTATGCGTTGAAATGCTGTTAATAGGTTGTAGGTAGGGGCTCTTAAGGGAATATTTAAGAGGCCTGAAGGGGATATTTACACTACTGCGATCGTTTGCATGCCATTAACGTTTTCAACGTTAAACAAGCTTAGTGACCTAGCACATACGTTTTGACCTTATTAACATGCATATGTCAATATGAAGTGGTAAATAATACAATGGTCTTAGGCCCACCTGCCTACAAGCCTACTTGTACCAAAATGTCGGCCTTGTCGCCAAAAATTGCTTCGTTCGCGAGCATGGTTAAATAATGGTCTCATT